CCGGCCTCGGCCTCGGCCTCGGCCAAGGGAGAAGGGCCGGGACCGGGATCGGGGGGCTCCGCGCTCGCACCGGGGAGGTCTTTCCCGTGCCAGAGGCAGAGGGAAAAAAACCAGACCATCCAAAAAGGACAGCTTTCTCTGGGAAAGCGCCAGGGAAATGCTCCTTTTCGGCAAGCTTTCGGGATCCGAGCCCCTTCGTCAGGCTCGGGGGAAAGTAGAGAGGGTGCAGCCTGGCAACAAAAGTAGAGAGGGTGCAAGATGGTAAAAAGTCCCCATAGGGAGGAAATAAACTTCATATTTTGCACAGCGGGAGGTGGGGATGGGAGGCGTCCCTCCAGGCCCAGCAGGGTGTGTCTGAGCTGTAGACCAGGTGGGATTCCTTCCCTGGAGGCGTCCGGTGGCAGGCAGGGAGGTAAAAAACCTTTCCTGTTGTTCTGCACCGAAGTTTAAAATCCCAAATCGGCTAGAATTCAGCATCTTCCCTGGGCCAGGGGGGTACTTGGTAGCTGTGTTGGTGTGGGACGAGAAGACGGGCAGTTTTCCATCTGTTGATTCCTCTGTGAAAGCCTACGAAAGATGAATTTTCATTTCTACCCAGGAGGACTTTTACAATCTTTTCTCCAACGCCTGATGAAGGGTGTTTGTGCCTGAAAGCAGCGTTCCCTCTAAACTGTGTGGCATGCTTGGCCTGGCAGTGCGGTCACGCGCCACGCAGCTTAGAGGGAGCACTGCTCGAAAGTTTGCAATTAAAGAATTTTTTTGGCAAAAATCTTGTTAGTCTAAGAAAAGATATCATCACTACTATGAGTCCTGATTGCCTTTTCCTCTAGACCAATATGGTTACAACCTGGATACCTGATACAAAAAACTAGAACTCTTGGTTCCAAAATGATACCTTTTATTAAACCAACTGGGAAATCCCAAGAAAATTAAAGCATGGAGGTTGTGGTGGCTGGGTACTGCCGGTCAGACCAGATGCAAGAAGGGCTTGGATTTTTTTTTTTAAAGAAACTTTTTGTGTTCCAAGCCAAATCAAGTTCAAATCCTGAGTCAGTCCAGAGCCATAAGTGGCCCTACAACTGGCGGACATCCTCCACCCCCACCAGGGGCTTTAGATATTTCAAGTCTTCTGACAGGCATCCTACGTGCTGGCCCAAACCCGGGGACTTAGTGTTTGTATGTCCCCAAGTTTCGCCTGCCCTCAGCCGTTTGGCCGCAGGAGCAAGCTAGGGAGGAGCCTCCCACTTCCTTAAAGTGGGCTTTAAGCCCCAACACCTCAGTGGGTACTGAACCACACCAGCAGTGATCCCTGGGAACGCTTAAGGAAAACTGCCTTCACGGACCCAGACACATGGTGTTTCCCTTGCCCGGCTTGGAGGAAAAAGGCATCGCTAGCTATGGAGTGAGGAAAGCAGCCTCTGAATTTAATTCCCAGAGCAGTTTGGGTCCCTTCTGACCTCAAAATCTATGAATCTATGAACTAATTTCTTGGGACAAAAAAAAAAAAAAAAAAAGCAGGGAAGGGAGTGAGGTCACAGGTTCAAAATAAGGGATCTGGAAGGGGACACTGTTTAGAGCAAACTGGCCAGGACCCACTGCCCCTGAATCAGTTGAGGGAGCCTGTGGATGCCAACCAGTGAAACTCTGCTTGGAGACTTGAATGGAGGAGTGGTGGCAAGACAGCCCTACACTTGCCCTGGTTTCCCCTGGCCAGAGCCTCCTTTCTGGTCTTGTAGATGGCCACCTTGGCCAGAGCCAGGAAGAGGTTAACCAGGAGGCCCCAGGGATTGGTGGGGCCAGGGATGGGAAGGGTATAACAAAAAAGGTGCGGGGAGAAGTACAGCCACTACCTCAGCAGGAGGTTCTGAAGGAGGCAGAAGAGGGGTTGCAACCTGGTGCACTCGAGGTAGGCATGTGCCGGGGTCTCCCTCTATTGGCAAAAGGTGTAGGTGATGGGAGTGTCTGTAAAGCAAGCCAGATACATGCCCGATGGCTTCATGGAGGATCTGCCCGCTGAGGTTCCCAGCGGCTCATGGGATCCTGGTGAAATAGAGACTTGTCCACTGAGGACCTAGGGTGTCTTGCCACCACCTCACCTAGGTTGTCCTGCCACTTTTTGCCAGCCTGGGTCACAAAGACAGGATGATGGATTGGGTGGAGCACGAGCATCAAGAGTTGGTACTGATGGGCAATTCAGAAAAGGACCGATTTGATATCCCCCACTTGTTTGATGTTCAGTGGAGCTGTTTTCATGTTGATCTCTGGAAAATGTAGCTACTTTGTTGGCTAAATTCTTCTAGGTCTCCGCAGAGTGATTGTATGGTTGTAGGAGACAAGTTGTAGGTGTGCACACGTTTCCAAAAGTGGGTTTAGGGTTCGAGTGCTGGGGGATATCAAACCTCCCTGCGATGTGCTTCTTGGTACCCCACTTCTCCAGGGCGTAGAAGTACGAACTGCAGCCTATCTCCCAAAGGAGCTGGATTCGCAGGCAGACCATGACAATCATCCAAAGCTTGGAGCTCCTCCTGCTTCTTCCAACACTCTGCAGAGGGACAGGTTGTCCAAATCGGTGGCCAAGCATCTACCTCTCAGGCTGTTTCTTGGCCACTTCCCTCTGTCAGGTGTGCCTCCAGGTGTAGCGGTGGGAAAAGAGCTGGATGTGCACCTTCCCCACATCCTGTCATCTCCAAGTCAAGGGGAAAGCTGGCTGCAGCTCATGACAAGCCAGAACTCCTGGAAGGCTGCTGCCAAATCCACGTCCTCCACCAGGCTGTTGTTAAAGTGCTGGCCCTGGATACTCAGGCTGCAGCGAGACCCGAGGGTAGATGAGGTAGTGTTTGCTGAAGGAGGCTGGCCTAATGCCAAAGGCATAGATTTGGGCAGTGTTTGGCAGTGAGGCGTACGTTTGGTCCAGCTAGGCCTGGCGCACCTGGTCCTCCTCCACCCTCATGAAGGTGGTAGTGTCATTAGGGTGTCAGGCATGCCAGATATCTGCAGTGGTCTGAGAGAACCCCAGCGGTGGCCTGGCTCCTCTCCCGCCTGTTCAGTCCTGCACTTTGAGGGAGACATTATGAAGTCCTTGTTGAAGACCAGGCATTTGTGAGGGTTGAGAGTAGCACAGTAGGTGGAATCAGGCCATCTCTGAGTGGCGCGTAGAGGCGTAAGATGTTCGGCAAGTTCAGAACAAACCCCTGTGCCTGGACTCGGAGATGGAGCAGGTGGCCCAGCACCTCCTCAGCACCCTGGAGGGTCTCTGGCTGCAGGCTCAGGGAGAACAGAGTTGCCACCCCACATGATGTCTCTGTGAGGTGGCTGAAGTACACCCTGTTTCTCCACTCCAGCTGCCAGCTGGCTTTGCGGCCGGAGTTGCATGAGTCTCATGAAGGAAGAGCACAGAGGACCCACCCTTCCCAAAGGAAGGCGAGTATTTGGCACCTGTGGAGACCTGTCCTGCAGATGCGGACATCAATAGTCATGATCTTGAATGACCTCATTGCTGGGGGGTATCGGCTGGCTCAGTAGGGGCCTCACAACCCTGCCACCCTCCCAGAGATGTAGAGGGTGTTATAAAAGCTGTGGGCCCATGTGTAGGTCCTGGTGTTGCACTATTTTGGCCCCTTGCCTTCCCCAGTAGTGTCCTCACAGTGTTGAGGATGCAGTGGAAGTCCCTAAGCAGTCCAGAGCGAGATGCACCATGTTCAGGGAACACAGTGCACTCTCTTTCTCCAGGAAATGGAGCAGCTTCTCCCTGGGGACCACCAGGGCCAAGAGGTCCATGGACTCCCAGTTGTCCTCTTCAAGGCTCTGTGGTTCAACAGGCTCCAACTGATTGCTTGGAGGGGCAGCTGTTTCCTCTTCCTCCAGCCCAGTGGGGGCAGAAGCCTGGTGAAACCATCTGAATCACCTGGTCCACTGTTTCCCCGGACTTCAGCGGAGGGAGCAACGCAGCCCTTTGGGGCAGGGGTGGGGTCAGCTCAGGACATGGAAGGGCAGAACAGAGCACGGTCTGTGCAGGGTCCCTGTTCTGCTTGTTGGGGGACCCTGCTTTGAACCCCTCTGTGTTGGGACCACTGGGTGGGCCTGGGATGGTTTCTGGGGGTTTTTATGGGAGTGCTGAAGGACATTTGTCAGGTACTGTTGTGGCTTCGGTGCCCTCACTGGAGCCTTTGGGAAGGGGCTTTTCCCCATCAGGGCTCGTCAAGATGAGTCCCAGGGCTCCTACCTCCTGTATATGTTCGGAGAGGGAGAGCTGTGCCTCCTGACCCACCCCAGGGTGATCGAGGCCTCTGCTTCGGCACTTGCATTGTTGGGGGGCAAGTCATGGTCGACAGAGCGATGGTCTCCTCCCAGGGCTCCTCTCTGGGACAGTCTGGCTGTCCCAGATCCTCCTCCATGGGGGCAACTCTTAATTTTCCCAGGGGTGGGGTATCTGGTGAAGCTCAAGGGGCAAGCAGGCTTTCTTTCAGTTCTGCCCCCTCTTGGTGAGCTGGAGGGGGTATCGGAGGGTCTGAGCTGTGTCTGGGCCTTCTGCTGTCCTTTGGCAGCAGAGTGCTGCCTGACATGGACCTAGCAGCCACTTAGCTATGAGATGGACCTCGGGTGGATTAGCTCCACGGGTAGGGGGTGGCATGGGACTGGGTGCGGGGGTAACTGCAGCAGGGGTGGGGCACCCCCCTCCGTCCCCTTTTCTGCCTGTTCCTCCCCTACCCTGGGACCCCACCAAGGGCTGAGGTGCAGTGTCCCCTGAGTTTGTGGGGGGTCTGTGTGCTGCAACTGAAGTGCCAGGCATGCCAGTGGCAGGAGCACTCCTTTCTCTGGTCGGGGCCTGCAGTACCCCCAGTTGCTGGCCTAGGGGGCACTTCTGGCTTAGGTGCCCTGGTGTGTGGCACTGGAAGCACCTCAGGTCTGCCACTGTATAGTACACTTGGATGAGGGACCCCAAAAGCCCCCTATCCCCCACTGCCAGCTAGATTGTGATTTGGCGGCAGAAGAAGCACACGTGGTGGAGGCTGGGGTCCTGGCACCCCAGCAAGAAGAGAATGGCTGGGGAAATTATTCTTCCCAGGGTCTGGAGGTGGGGCAGCAAGGCCAAGTTGGGGAGGTGTGGGGAGACAGGGCTCGGGGCCACCTGGGTCCCCAGTTCCTCCAGGGACTCAAGGAGGATGTGCCTGCAGGCAGCTGGCATATGTGGCAGAGTTGGAGGGACCCCACTGGCGGTGCAGGTTCCTCTCGGGCTGCAAAACGGCAGGCAGCTCAGCAGCAGGGTTGGGAACCAGCAGCTGAGAGCAGTGCTGGGATCAGGGATGTGTGTGTGGAGGGGTAGCCCTCTCTCCCTGAGGGTGGGGCGGGGGATAGCAAGCAGCAGCAGGGGCAGTCCAGGGGTCAGCCCAAATGGAGCAGGCGGGATGCTGACCCTGCGCGGAGCCAGCAGGAGCCTTCTCCAGGGGATTGAGGTAGGGCTTCGCAGGGGAGAGAGGCTCAGGGTGGTTCCCTGGCACAGCAGCTCCAGCAGCAGCCAGGGGGAAGTGGTGGCCACAGGAGCCTGGGCATGAGGGACTCCCTAGCATTAAAACATTCTGACCTCGGCCTCTTCTCTTGCGGGCTAAGATTGAGTGTAGGGAGTAACTGAACTCCCAGACTAAAGAGTCTGGAATGGAAGATGCTTGCCTGTAGTATCAGGGGGCATCCAAACCCCAAGACCAATGGATTTGGGTGTATCCAAAGAGCTAGGGTGAGAGGTCTGGGTTGGAGGATGCTCGCCAATTGTAGCGCCATATATAGTGTTTAAAATGATTGAGTTCTGCCTGCTCAATTGATATGGTTTTTGGAATGATTGAGTTCTGCTCAATCAATATAATCTGGAACTGATTTTGACCTGGAACATGAAATATATTATTAAAAATTAAAAAAAAAAATTCTGACGTCGGCCTCTTGTGAGCCAAGATCAAGGTTACTGCACTGGTCTGTTCCTCTGACCAAGATGGATTTGAAAGGATTGTGTAGTGGAGGATGCACCCAGATCCAGTGCACTGAAGACAGGACACCCTATGAGAGTCTGTAACAGCCGCCCAGTGATCAGCTTCCAGTGGGAGGATCTCGGCTACATGCTTACTTTATGGAAGTGGGGGACCGCTCCTTAGCTTGCTTCTGTGGCCATTGGCTAAGGGCAAGTGAGACTCAGGAGGTGTCCAAACCCCAAGACCCTCAGGGCTTGGGCCTGCATGTAAGATGCCTGCCAAGGGGTTTGGGAATATCTGAATCTCAAGCTAAAAAGTCTGGGGTGGAGGATACTTGCCAGTTTTAGCACCACATATGGTGTTTGAACACCTGAGTTTTGCTCAATTGAGAGGATTCAGAACTGATTTGGCTAATTTGACCTAGAATACGGGGGAAAAAAATTCTGACCTGGCATGGTTTTTCCGAGTTCTTTGCCACAGAAAAATTGCTCTATTATTTTTCTGAACAAGACCTTATAGAAGGTACTGGAAACAGTGGTCATATGGAACTGTGCGTGGGTTAGTTTACTGTGCTGAAAAGGGTCTTGCTCAGGGGTTCTCAAAGGTTTTATGCCACGGCCCAGCAAACATGGCCTGGAAGTGGCCGCAGTCCAGCAGTCACAGCCAACCACGGCCAGAATTTCTGACAGGCAGACAGGTAAGGATACTCCCACTCCCCACATGGAGGGGTGGGGTTGGCCAGACCCTGCGCTGCCACGGGCACTGCATAAGGAGCCACGGCCTCTCTGCCCAGCTCTGGGGAGCCACGGTTTGCCGTTCCGCAGCCACTTCCGGTCCGGCACCAGGCCGCAGCCTGGGGATTGAGAACCCCTGGTCTAGCTACCACAGAAAGACGTTTCAGATATAAGCTGTCATGCAGTTGTACAAAGGATGTTTGGGGCATTGCACCACTGCATGCACTGTCACTGTAGTGAAAATAAGATGTAGATCAATCCTGTTCTACTAGGGAGAAAATACTATTGAGGTATATTCATAGATTCATAGATGTTAGGGTCGGAAGGGACCTCAATAGATCATCAAGTCCGACCCCCTGCATAGGCAGGAAAGAG